CCTCGGTGTTCCCGCTGCTCGTTTGCCCCCTTCTGTTATAAAAAAAAAAAAAAATCACAGTCGCATCAAAAAAAACGAAATGTCACGTTAATCATGTTACAAAATAAATATTCTTTAGATAAATTAGTAGAATACAAAAACAAAAATAACGTTCTTAAATTAAATTTTTGTAATAAAAAAAAAGAAAATAAATTAAGGTGAAAGTTTCTATTCGTCTTAATCTACATCTTAGTTTGTTCATTTATTTATTTATTAAGACAAACCAACAGCATACATATAAAATAGCAGTAAAACAAAAATCACACAAACATTTTACTTTACAACTTAGTTCCTTTACTAAGTTACTTTACCTACTTTACAATTTTACAACTTAGTTCCTCAACTGCTTTGAGCTTGTATATTATCAATAAAGTTATGACGACACGGATCCTTGAACGTGTAAAGAAATAAAAAAAAATCCCCCGATAGTGAAATATCGTTATAAATCAACACAAATCTAATTTAAAATGTATGAATGTATTTATATTGAACTTTATCATTACAGATAAATTTAATCTAATAAAGTAAAAGTACATGTTGTGTTTGATTTTATATTGCGCTAATTTCCAGGATTTTATAATTTGTCAATCATATTACAAAATAGAATGAGGTTCATATTTCAATTCTTAATTTTCCAATTAAAGCTATCTCCGAAACAACTTAATGGATTGATATATAAAAACGGCTAAACACTCACGTATATTCGTCCGAATGCGGCACCGACTTGTTTCGAGCCCATCGGGGGCCCTTCTTCAGGATAAGTGGTACTGGTATTATATCGCGGACGCGGCCCGTCGCTCGCCTCGATGGGCTCGAAACTAGTCGGTGCCGCCACCGGACGAATATACGTGAGTGTTTAGCCGTGTTTATATATCAGTTTAGTATAATGTCTCACGAAAGTTTGAGTAATTTAACTTAATGGACCTTTATGAAATTTGGCACATACTTAGAACATAGTCTGGAAGAACACATAACACATTCAGCGCGGTCGGAGTCGCGGGCAACAGTTAGTATAAGTTCCTAAAATACACCAACAATAAACATAAATAATTAAACATTATAAATAGAACAACATTTTAACTAATTTAGTCATCTTAATATGCAATACAAATTAAATATAATACGATCGACATGTATTGGCTGTTGAAAGCGTGAGAAATTGATACAAGAATATATAGTATTGTTGCGCCAATATGCGGCGAGAAGAGTACATCACGCAGTTGTCATTCTCGCAGACTTTGACCCCGGATTCCACAGCCCGTATTGTTCTTTATAATTGTTACGGCGCTCAGATAACACGCGTACTTAACTATGCAACTTATCTTTGAATCTGTAGTTGTTATAACATAAACTGTACGTGTATAAAATTTTTCTGTTATCTGTCATATTGGAAACTAGCTTACGGAGCAAAAAAAAACTTAATAAGTAGCCTACATGTTCTTCCAGACTATGTTCTATATCCACGCAGTTCTAGAGATATTTTCAAACAAACATCCATACATCTAAACATTCTCATTTATAATGTTAGTAAGATATGTGTATACAACTGACTAAGACAAAGCGCTTTTGATCCGAAGCCATTTAAAGTTCAAAGGTAACTTTCTACAAGTCACGTGATTGTCACATGTCAGTTCCAAATATTTTTAATCTTAATTTTGGAATAACTTCATAACGAATTCACTATATATATTTTTTTTTAATAAATTTAAGAGTGGTAGAACCCGCTTTAACATCTTCGCACGAATTGGCCAGGTTCGTCCGGTGAAATACCACCACCACACAGAAAACAGGCGTGAAGTGGAAGAAATTCCGCGTTTCGTCTAATGAGTGTGCGTCCCGGAGGCCTAATTTAGTCCTCTTTCCCTTCCCTCCCTTTTCTTATAAGGAAAGGATGGGAAGTGGAAGTGGACTTTCCGGATGAGAGGATGCATGGAAAGAGAAGATATTTTTTTTCTGTGCATCCTCTGCTCCGTCGATTAAAGGTAGGCAACGCATATGCGATTGCGTATGTCTATGGGCAACGGTCACTTCGCTATTTCAGCGATTTTAGGTGGCCGCTCGCTCGTTTGCCACCTTATGATATAAAAAAAAAATAAAAAAAATAAAAAGGTGGCAAAAGAGCAGCGGAAACACCGAGGTTTTCATCCATGCTCCCAGCACCAGATGAACTGCAGATGTTGCCGGCCTTTGAGATGGCGTTTCCATGATTCCAATGTCCCATTTACATGATGAATTCTCAGAAATTGTTTTTTTACATTATAAGGTGGTAAACGAACAAGTGGTCACCTCAATATGCAAAATGCGAATCAATCGCTACCTAAAGACATCCGCAGTTACAAATGCGTTGCCTACCTTTAATCTACGGAGGAGGGACGCACAAAAATATTTTCCCTACCTACGAGTTCCTTCCTCCGTCCAATCCACTCGGACAAACGACGTGCGCGCGATTTTATTACTGCGAAAAAGAGGAACCTTTAACTCGATGATAAAATTATCATTTAAATGACTAAGGCCATTTTATTACCTCTGGATTAATTGAAGAGAAATGTGACTTTATATACCAGAATGGATTAACGTGACAAGATTGAGAAAAGTTGATTATTTGGATCACTGCACAATTCTAGTAAGTTTTATTTTGGTTAATATGTATATGACAAAAAAAATGAAATCTAAAAGTGTTTTTGACCTTGAAAAGAATTGATGCGATAGTTTTTGGTTGTTATTGCATCAGCTTACACGACCAGTGTGTAAGTTCGTGCTTTTATTGCGTCAGGTCGGAGAAATGCCGAATACACGTGTTTTACTTAAAATTATTTAAAAAAAACGATGCCTTAATGTTGTTATTAATTAAATATGATCATAAAACAAGGGTAAAATGGTGTAAGCAGTATTATATTTAATAGGGATTAATGATTTTTTTTATAAATTACTAATAATAATTAAAAATCACAATTTTCCCATAGCAGTTCGTATTGTATTCGCGAATGTATTCATATTTTTGTTAACATAGATGTCGCCTGCGACTCCGTCCGCGCAAACTTAAAAAATCTTAATTAGTAGCCTATGTGTTCTTCCCGACTATGTTCTACATCTATACCAATTTTCAGGAAGATCCATGTAATCGTTCTGGAGATATCTTCAAACAAACATCCATCCAAACATCCAAACTTTCGTATTTATAATATTACTAAGACAAGAAAAAAGTATAGATCCTTAAGTCCATTGTGATATTAGTTAAATTTTGTATGTTGTACGCGGTGTTTAGGTCCGCATGGCGCGCGCGTGTTTAGATGCGCGCTTCGTAGACATGGAGGCAAATATTGACGCTACTTCATCGTTTATTTAGTAAGATAATACAATGAAAACCTTTGCTAACATTTGTCCTATTTGCATAGGCTTTCAAAAGTCTATATTTAAATTTAAAAACCTTTTAATATTTATTCTTGTTTTTTTTTTAATTCTAATATTTAATGCGAATGAAGTCGTCAGTACCTGCCAGTATAACATGTTCTAATTCGAATTATTATTGGAATCGAATTGGAATTGCATTTTAAAAATCGATATCGGATAAATCGAATTAACACTAAACATTCCGAATTCGATTTTTTAATTTCAATTTTGCTTTGTAAAATTGAATTCGAAGTTTAAAAATGCTACAAAATAGGTTATACTCCGGTAAAAGGAGCAAGGTCGTGTGGGAGATTAACGGCCAGCTCCAGCGGGGAGTGACCGTGCGCTAGCTCTAAGTGGACACAAACAGTGAACTATCGCGGTCCATTGTCCAGCATCTGACCTCGGTAGATAGCGCCAGCGGAACACCCCTTGTAAAACGAGAAAAACGCTTTAGATCCAGGGCTGTCAAAATACTACAGCTCTGATAAGGTTTTTGTTTTATTTTTAGAGATGTTTTTTTTCTATTGAGTCATTGTTAAAAGATGTTTTAGCTAGCCATCCCCTTTCTAGTACCCCTGGAACAGGCGCCTGTACACTCCTAAGTTATGGAACCCTAGCTCCCTGCATCCGTAGGTGTCGACCCTATCTTAGTTCTCAATCTTATGCATAATAAATGAGAATCTATAGATGTAAATTAAACTATAAAGGCTTTATTTCTGCAATTTGGATTCCAACATGCGTTGCTACCTGGTTATTGAGTAAAACATTCAGATTTTCATATTTCTGTGTGATGGCAACCCTAGTGCGATCACGAAGCTATATCAAGTGGTGAGGATGCTGCTCTCACCAGTCGCGTGGTGACGGTCGCACAAGGCGCACGCATGCGTCTCGATCTCCTATCATACTTTAATTGTTTGCGCCGAAGGAATCTACGGCAATGGATCCGCGGGTGATTGTGTTCATTTTATTAGCCGCTAATATTTTAAGTTGGGAATTTATGGTTATGGGGGCGTGCGCGAATTGCGTCAATGGGGAACTGACTGTTAGGGAACTAACTAATGCTAGGATAGAGTACGTGAAACAGCAGATCTTGAAGAAGTTACGGTTGAGCCGGCGCCCCGCTGTGGCTGTGCCGGTGAACAGTCTACCGATGCCGGTGGCGGAGGGCCAGACCCTTAGTGCGGGGGCGGATAAACCTCCAGAGTTTGATGACTACTACGGCAGAACGGAACAGAAGATTATATTCCCTGTTGAAGGTGAGAAGAAATTTTTAACTTAGTAATTTTTTATTCTGTTCCAAAATCAACCAAATTTTTAGGTAAGGACTATCTGATTTATTGGAAAATTTAAATCTTTTTTTTTATGAAATGGGTATAAATTTTACTTAAAATGTCTTTATTATTTCTAAAACATTTAAATATTAAGACCAACTTAATCAATGTAAAAAATTAGTTTTCAACAACTTATATAAAGTTAGGCCTTTCATAATCATTTTAAATTAATAAAATATTTATGATAACACAAAGGTTAACACACTTGTTCGTCCTCAACATATATATAACGATGAACTTTGTACTTTCTAATTTTATGTCAGGTTGACGAATTACTTGACCGTACTTTGACCACCACGTGACAGTCTTGTGTTCGTTATTTCATAAACAATCATATCAACAATACACCGCATGCAATGTTTACTATTTAATTATAGAATAATGCATGATAATTATTTTATTGTAAAGGTCAAAGTTCTTAAGATTGGAAGTAAGAACACCGAAACTGCACACGATAATAAAGTCCTTTGAAAATACTTAGTCTAACAGTGGTAGAGAATGCTTTAACATCTTCGCACGAATTGTCCCGGCTCGTCCGGTGAAATACCACGACCACACAGAAGACAGACGTCAAGTGGAAGCTATTCCGCGTGCAGTCTGATGAGTGTGCGTCCCGGAGGCCTAATTTAGTCCTCTTTCCCTTCCCATCCTTTTTCTTATATGAAAAGGATGGGAAGGGGGAGTGGACTTTCCGGATGAAAGGATGCATGGGAAGGGAAAATATTTTCTTTCTGTGCATCCTTTCCTCCGTCGATTAAAGGTAGGCAACGCATTTGCAATTGCGTATATCTATGGGCAACGGTCACTTCGCTATTTCAGTGATTTCAGGTGGCTGCTAGCTCGTTTGACACCTTATTATATAAAAAAAAAGTTAAGTAAACAAATCTTACTTATATTATAAATGCGAATGTTAAGATGGATATTTGTTTGAAGGTATCTCCCGAACCGCTTAACTGATTTTGATGAAATTTGGCATAGGTGTAGAACATAGTCTGGAAGAACACATAGGCTACTTATTAAGTTTTTTTTTATTCCGCGCTGACGGAGTCGCGGGCGACAGCTGGTATTTAACACCTTAAGCTCCATGAGTATCTTTTTGTCACACAGTGTTTAGAACACTGTGTATTCAAAATAATACACATTTTTGTATTTAAACACATCCCAACAAAAAAAAATGTTTTGTTTTTTTATACGGTCGCTTTGGGTTTGGCGCTGAGGGTTTTAAATAGCATATATTGTTATATTATAAATAAAACATATTTACTTTGTTAAAATCTGTACATTTTTAGCAGTTTTTTATATATCGAGTAGATCTTGATTACATTTTTATTTAAAACTTAAAAATAATATTTTCCTCTTTGATGCTAAAATTAGAAATTTGTGACCGCATGACCTTTGTCGAGGTATAAGTTAATTAATTTAGGATTTATCTAAATGTAGTTTTAATTTATAATAAACCTGACTCTCATAAACCCTTGCCAATTAAAAAAAGATGTAAAGGGAAAGTAAATTTTGCGGGGGAGTTAATATATAAGAAAGGTAAGTTAAATATCTTTCCGGCCATTTATGGTAGAGCATTTGAAATTTTTAACTTAATATAGTTTTCGCGCGCGATTCCGTCCGGGGATAAAAGCTTAATTAGTAACCTATTTGTTCTTCATACTGAATTCTACGTCTATATCAAATTTCAGTGAGACCCATGCAACCGTTCTGGAGATACCATCTAACAAACATCCGTCCATCTAAACATTCGCATTTATAATATTAGTAACATATCTGAGTCATCGTACGATTTTCAAGTAACATTGTAAGATTCTGTTTATGATAGTCGTTATCAATTTCACAAATCAAGAGATGAAAATATTTTTCATCAACACTTCCTTCATTACTCATCTCTATTTTTTTATATTATAAGGTGGCAATCGAGCGAGCGGCCACCTGAAATCGCTGAAATAGCGAAGTGACCGTTGCCCATAGACATACGCAATTGCATATGCGTTGCCTACCTTTAATCGACGGAGGAGAGGATGCAAAGAAAGAAAACATTCCCTTTCCATGCATACTCTCATCCGGAAAGTCCACTTCCATCTCCCATCCTTTCCTTATAAGGAAGAAGGTGGGAAGGGAAACAGGACTAAATTAGGCCTTCGGGACACTCTCTATCATTCCACCAACGTAGGGTAAGCACACCAGTTTTCGGTCTCCATATCTATCACATTTCCACCACCCTTAACTTAGGTAGACGAGCCCCTTAGTGTGGACGTATCGTGAGACCATATCTATCGGTTCCGTCATTTCAATCGTTCCTTAATCATGTCACAGTTTACAAGCCTTGTCTACTACTAGGTAACTGTACCTTAAAAATAACATGAATTACTTCTAAATATAGCATTGCCGGTTGTAGCATTTCCGGCGTCCTGGGCGAGATTTTTCGGCGCCCCCAATTTTTTTTGGTGTCGAGGGAAATTTTACAAAGATATCGAATCTTAGGGGGCGCCCCTTAATATCCGATTAAGGCGCCGGCGCCCTAAACGGTCGCCCAGTTGATATTTGAGCACTTTTGATCCCCCTTTCAGTGTCGTTCAATAAAAAGAAAAAAATGAGAGTAAAGGCCGTAATATATCGTTTATTTTATAAGGATATTTATACCAGCAAATAAACACAATATTTACATTTGACTTGTGATATCTGTATTCATCAGATCTGTCAAAGATAATTGTATGTTTGTATGTATGTACGACACGTGTAGGGGTCACCGGAGGCGGAAACAATACACGATAATGTTCGATCTACCTACGTTATCACGGTACAATCCGACCGCGATAACACCGTGATGTAACGCTGTAAGACTGACCTATATATCATGTAATCATCATCTCATTCCACACTATGTTTATAGTATTTTCAATCTTATCTAAAATATCTCCTAAGTTCAGCTCACTATACGTCCCCATTGAGTGGCCCGGAGCCTACCCTAAGTTAAGGGTGATTAGGCTATAGTAAACTACGCTGGTCAAGTGCGAGTTGGTTGACTTCACACATATCTTTGAATTTCTTGCAGGTTGCATCACGATGTTTTCCTTCACCGTAAGAACGTCGGATAAATGTACATATGTAAACAATACACGGCGGAGTTCGAACCCAGCATCTGCAGATTGCAAGTCAAGTGCTCGACCCCTGAGCCACCGACGCACTAATTGATTTTTACTTAAGTATTATAAATCCTAAGTGTATATTTATCATAGTAAAGCTTTTTAATTTTATTCACGATCAATCAAACTGATTTATTTTTTGTAAATGTCATTTAGATTATAACTAAAGAAATGATAATTTTGATTAATTAAGAAAATTATGTAATTCGTTCTACATAATGGATTTAATTATTTTCCTTGTCATTTTAGTTTTTATTGTACTCATAAATAATATCTATAAATACAATGTTTATCACGAGACATCCCATTGATTGTTATATGTAAAATCATTTTTTTATTTATCAAACAGTGGTAGAGCCCGCTTTAACATCTTTGCACGATTTGTCCCGGCTCGCCCGGTGAAATACCACGACCACACAGAAGACAGGCGTCAAGTGGAAGCAATTCTGCGTACAGTCTGATGAGTGTGCGTCCCGGAGGCCTTATATAGTCCTCTTTCCATTCCCACCCTCTTTATAAGGAAAGGATGGGAAGTGGAAGTGGACTTTCCGGATGAGAGGATGCATGGAAAGGGAAGTTATTTTATTTCTGTGCATCTCCTCCGTCGATTAAAGGTAGGCAAGGCATATGCAATTGCGTATGTCTGAGCAATAGTCACTTCGCTATTTCAGCGATTTCAGGTGGCTGCTCGCTCGTTTATATATATATATATATATTAATTTAATGATAACAATATTACGTTGATATATGTAAAAACAATAATATCGTTGTCTGTGATAAAGATAAATATTTTCATACCGGAAATAATTTATCATTATAATTCTCTACGTGTGTTTTAAACTGTATGACAAGATTGATTCAATATACTACGAATAAATTATTATTTTATTAAAATTTACTTGGTTAAGTCGAGTCACGGGAGCGTCGGTGGCTCAGGGGTCAAGCACTTGACTTGCAATCTGCAGGACCTGGGTTCGAATCCCGCCATGTACCAATGTGTTTTTCGATTTCTGATTTACATATGTACATTTATCCGACGTTCTTACGGTGATGGAAAACATCGTGATGCTGCACATATCTGAGAAAATCAAAGATATGTGTAAAGTCAACCAGCCCGCACTTGGCCAGCGTGGTTGACTATGGCCTAATCACCCTTACCCTTAACTTAGGGTAGGCTCCGAGCCCCTTGGTGGGGACGTATAGTGAGCTGATGATGATGACTTGGTTACATATTTAAATAAAGATAAATCAACTTTCTACTGCTGTTTGAAATTTAAAAATGCTCTTTTAATTAAAAAGTTGTAAAGGGTGAGATTCTTCCAGCGCCCACTTTTATGTATATGTTAATCTTCCAAAGATACGGTATCTTAAGAGACACACTTTATATTCGACTCTGGCGTTTCTTATGACCGGCGCCCTGTGCAGTTTTTCCTTGTCCTACCTTAACGCCGCGACTCGGTCACCTTTCATGTAGTAACATGCTTGTAAATACATAATTTTTAATGGAAATTCTTAGTTTTCTAATCGTTATCACAACGACCTTTTCTATTAATTAAATTTTAACGGAAATTGCGTTGAATGACATTTATCAAAATGTGCCGTGGATCTGAACCCGGGTCTTCTCGGCGGCGTGTTATCTCTTATCAGTTACAGTTATAAGTCAGTACAGTTTACATTGGAGATTTGTTTAACTCTGAGGTTATTTTATTACTTTATAAACTTTCATAATTCCTCTAGTTGCTGGAAAATTAATTAAAATGCTGCATTTCTTTTTTTGGTTCTTTTAATCGTAGCATAAACGATTTGACTGATTTTAAAGAGATTCTCCCAAACGTTAAGGTAAATTATTATTATTATTATAGGAATATTTGTGTTATAAATTACCTCTACCTCGTTAAAAAAGTACAGATTAAAAATACAGAGACAGACGTTGCAATATGACGCATTTTCATGCATTTTTTAGACAGCCAGTTGCTGATAAACCTACACTTAATCAATGCTTTGGGAATAAGAATCTGAGTGCTCGTTTAACACGTATTTTAAGGTAAAGATAATGAACAGATTGCCCTGCCCCTTGCTCGCGGGTCATGGACCAAAATCTGGCATTATCACGCATGAATCATGCGACGCCCGAGTGCCTGATAACGCGGCCTCTCCCGCGGCTACTGAGAGGGAAACACGAAAAAAAAGGTCATCTTGATAAATTAATCTGAAGCACAGGTCATTGAATTCCGTCTCACATTTACAAAACTTCTTTATTTAACAACATTATAATGTTTACAACGCAATTCTGACATCTTAGACTCATTTAGACTTGTCAGATGTAATTTACGTATATTATACATTTTTGATAGTACTAGATATGTATTTATTTTGATTTATTTATTGATTTTAATATGGAATAAGCGTGTTATAAACAATAAAAAATAATGTATTATACTATAAAAAAAATTTAGGTTAGATTAATAAGTTAAATTTTGATTTGACAGATGTCATTGTTTTCCCGCCCTTTTTCCCTTCAATTGGATTCAAGTGACCGTTTGCTCAGTTGCTATTAAAATATGTTCACAAAATGTTTTTAACCTATAAATATGTATATATTACAATTGGAGAATGGTGAAGTCTTGGGCAAACGCTAGTATTGCATAAAATAAATATAATTTTATTAATGTATACATGACAAGATTAGTGGATGAATGATCGTGTAATCAGATTGCGATATGTTATCTGTGCACGTGAAATATGTTATCACATCACCCGGAACACCTGAGATTTATGAATGAAAATCTTGTTACTAACATGATCGTACGATACTTTAAGACCATTCACACAAGGTAACGTAAATTCTCGAAACCCAGTAATTTTACCCAGAGTTATGTCACGCTTTTTCATAGAGCTCATCCCCGATTTTTCTGTCATCGTCTAAGACAGTCGCTCGCAATCCGTTTGTCAAGATCGTAGCAAGAAAAGTTGCTGCAATTTTCAATAAGGAAAAGCAGTTGACGCTTAGTCTGTGTGCGTTTACGAAGCGCGAAACGCGATTTTCGCGACTCAACCATGCAATATTAATTTCGACGTTCCTTTTCCTTGTGCATGAAAGGTACATTGTTAACGACACACAATTGACAAGTTATTACGTCTGATTATCATTGGTGTAAAATAGGACAATTTGTCTAAAGTTCTAGTGTCAGGTTGTAGCTGTCTGGTTGAGCAAGTGACCGCGGCTAATTGGAGCAAGGAGTGACCCCAAAGGCCGCGCCGCCGATAGCGCGTCAGCCGCCGCCTCAGTGCTACTGCCCCGCCCCCTCCTTACTCAAGTGCTCCTCCCCCGAACACCTTGTCTGTCAAGTCTCGTGTTAAAGATGTTTGTTGATACTTCACTATTGGATTAGATGTGTAATCTTGTGTAGAAGAAGCGAAAGGTGTGTCAAGAAAGTGCAACTTAAAAATCCGTGACCATAGCCAACCCTTCTAGGTCAAGGATATAAGAAGTCAAGTAACTATTTGATAATGTGAAGCTTACTTCACATGTCACATCTTCGTTTTAATTTATATATAATGTAACGTATATTAACGCTAAAATTGTGTTGTTACAGGAGAGTGTCTGACAACGGGCAGGTACCCCTTCATCTGTCTGCAATTCGAACTGCCGCCTGACGTTGAGCCCGAGGAGGTCACAGTTGTCGAGCTATGGTTTTACAAGGTAACATACCTTACCCTTTCATACATCTCTGTCAAACGCAATATCTATCCATTTTTCTGTCTTTCTTTACTTTTGTAACAATAATTTTTATTACTTTATTAATTGATTAAAATATATTCCAGGAACGCGACCCTCTCGACGAGTACAACCAGACGTTTGTGATCTCGGAAGCTGCGCACTGGGATAGCCAGCAACAATTCAAGAAGACTAAGCCCATTGCCATCAAGGAGACGGACGTGGGCGAGGGCTGGGTGCGAGTCGAGCTGGCGTGGGCTGTCCGCGTCTGGCTCGAGGGCATGGAACGTCTGCACACGTTGCACGTCGCCTGCAGAACTTGTCAGGTTTGTTGGTAACTGTTTAAATAAACGTTAAGTGTGAATTCATCAAATTAAATCTACACTAAGGATTTCCCTACTTTACACTCTAATAGGAAGATATTTGAGATTAGTTATAACTGAAAAAATGTGAAAATGTCGATTGTGATTTAAACAAATTAATGAAATCTATACAACTCAATTTTCCCCTACAGCTACGTCGGGCGCCTCTCTCCTTCCACGAGAAGCATCGTCCTTTCCTAGTACTGTATACAAAGTACGCGGGCAAGCGTCGCCGGGGTCGCACACTAGAGTGCGGGGCTACCACCAGCGAGTGCTGCCGGGAACCCCTTTACGTCAGCTTCCGCGAGTTAGGCTGGGACGACTGGATCATACGTCCTGCTGGATACCACGCCTACTTCTGCAAGGGATCCTGCGCGCCTATATCCGCTGTGTCACAAGCTGATAGCTATCATCATAATATTATTAGGGTAAGTTTCTAATATCATCTTGACCACTTTTGATCCTCCTTGCTTAATATTAATTAAAATACATATGGTAGATATTCTTGACCTCTCTCTGCCTGAATCCGTAACCCTTGTTTTATAGAATTTGTTTTTCGATTGCTTGTGATTTTGTTGTGACAGATTTATGTATTTTAAATTAATTTCTAACAGTATATTTTTCTTTACAGAAATACTTCTACTCAGTATCCAACGAGAGGAAAGCAGAGTTCAAGCCGTGCTGCGCGCCGACCACGTTCAGTTCTCTCCAGCTGTTGTATATGGATTCTAACAACACGGTTACGCAAAAGACATTACCCAACATGGTGGTAGAATCCTGTGGCTGCATGTAGTTCTGAGTGTATGTATTTCTATAGATTCTTGAAGTGCAACGGATTAGTTTGTGTTGCTGACTTTAATTTATTACTAGCAAATTAGCAATTTGTTGTTGTGATAGTACTATTTTGTGTGCGTTTCGTCGTCAAAATGTTTTAGTTAATGGTAAAAATTGAAAAAAATTATTGACACTTTGTTAAGAAGTATTTGGTTATGAAAGATTTACGAACATAAAATTAAACTTATATAAAAATAGCTAAAACACTTACGTATGTACGTCCGGTGGCGGCACCGACTAGTTTCGAGCCCATTGGGGGCCCTTAGGGCTCGAAACTAGTTGGTGCCGCCACCGGACGACCATACGTGAGTGTTTTAGTCGTTTTAGAATATAACATTTTTAGTAAACTTTTTGAGGATTTTTAGATGTCTTATTATAATATTCAAACTACTTATTACGATGGCGACTTTAAATCGTAAATAGTTGAATTTACATTGTGATACTGATATAGGCCAGTGTTATTTTTATACTTAATGTGATTTATTTATATATATCTGTACATTTTAAGATCCAGTGCATTTATATTACTTTATATTAGGAAAATTAAATGGATTAATAATTTTGAAATGTATCCATAATGAAGTATAACGATTAATTTTGCTGTATAATTAATTTAATTAACCAATGTTGCCCCTGCCTAATTAAGTTTAATTATTAATTAGTACGTTAATTAATTAATGTGTTAATGACAACAGTTAAAAATACTTTTGTTAATTACAACATAACCTTATTATTGTGCGTGTTTTTATAAATTGTTTAAAAGTTGAATCCTTCATTATGGAACATTTCGAAAGTTTACTTTTTTAAGTTATTTTTATAACTATTAGTATGATAAATTATCATAATATTTAATTATCAAATATATTATTTGAGATTAAGTTGATGGACGAAAGTTAAACTCATTGTTAGTGATATGATAAGGTTTTGTTTTAATATTATAGTTTTCACTGCCGGTACACACGTAGAAATATTTATCTCAGTTTTTGAAGGCAAATAAAAGGGATTACGATTTATTTCGTATGTGGACTGTGAAAGTGGACCTACTGTAATGCCGTGTTTACATTATGTCAGTACAGTACGACAGTAGCGCTGGTCTGGCACGAACTGTAAAGTCTCACTAGCGCCAGTTAGTTTATTACTTGTGTAAATGAATTTGTCAAACGTCAAAATCTTTTTACCCTAAAAATTCAGATGTATATTTGACAAATTATCTGCGATAAGATATGCAGATTAAAAGTGAAATAACAGCATAGGTTTTTCCATTTCTAAGATAAAATTTATATTTTTTTGTACAAAAATAATCGTAATCCCAATAATTTGAATATATTATCTGTACTAAAAACCGATTGTTTTTAATCTTAATTAATTTAGATAATGTATCGAATAATTGTATAATTAAGTGGTATTTCCCAGTTGGTCTATGTACTTAATAAAGACCTGTGGTTTTGTGACTAGATATATTAATTAATGAAATAGAATATTTCTATAAAGTATTATAAATTTAAGATAAAGAATAAATGAGGGTTGAGATATTGTTATCGATTTTGTTTTTTTAACACGAAGTTTAAAAGGTTACAAGTATCTACCTATAAAATTTTCTGCACGACAACAAAACTAAATACGCCTGCCACATGTAAAGCATTCGCGCAACTTGCTCGATGGTGTGGGTGCGATGGTTAGGAGACCGAAAGAAACAAAATATGGTCGAGTGTTGCGTTTCATACTTAGTCTTAGAGAAATGAAGGTATACCATATTAGGATACTATTCCATATTTGGTGACTTTCCTCTATTAGGACAATTCAAATTACAGCTAACAAGTCTATGCTCGCCTGGTACTAAAACCGAGCTTAAGTTCAAAGAAAAATACGCCTCAAAAGCTACTTAATACCAATATCTTCTACATATAAAAATCAATTGCTGTTCGGTAGTCTCACTAAAACTCGAGAACGGATTTGTTTTATCTTGGCCCCGAAATGTTCATGGAGGTCTAGGGAAGGTTAAAAAGGTGAGAAAAATTCATTAATTGCCGGGAAAACCCTAAAAACATTATTTTCATTTTCCCATATAAATGGATCTTGCTGAAATTCGTCATAGATGTAGAACATAGTCTGGAAGAAAACATAGGGTAATAATTATGTTTTTTTAATACGCGCGAACGGAGCCGCGGGCGACAGCTAGTGGAAAATAAATTAAAAGTCTTAATCATCTTACTTCTTTTACTAGTAAATTGCATAGATTACTCAGTATTGAATTATTCAAACTTTCGTGAGACATTATACTAAACTGATATATAAACACGGCTAAACACTCACGTATATTCGTCCGGTGGCGGCACCGACTAGTTTCGAGCCAATCGGGGGCACTTCATCAGTACCACTCATCCTGACGAATATACGTGAGTGTTTAGCCGTTTTTATATATCAGTTTACTCAGTATTGGAAAAATAAAATAAATTAAACGCACAAACACATCATTTATTAATCAAAAAAGCAACAGATCACAATAAAATGCAACTAACGTCCGAGTGACAACAATTATCTTAAATTATAACTTAAAATTTACTTAACAATAAGTAGAAAATTCTGGATCAAGGGGAACTAAGATTCGTAATGTTTTGTCATCTTCAAAATGTTGTCCTATTTTAGTGCCTTGAGGTACTCTACTTTCTTTTTGTAGACACAAACAAAATTAACTTGAAATAACTATGTATATAACAATTCTTATTAATAATTAACCAATAAGTTATGTTTAAAATAAAATGGCTTATAAATTCATTTAATTTTTTTTTTTCAAAAACTATGACAAATCATATTAAAAGCTAATTAAAAGTCATATTTTTTCCTACAAAGATATATATTTCTAAATTGATCCAGAATATTCTATATCCTACGAGCAGTTAAATAAAATTATTCGTCGTTAAAATCTTTTAAGTCGCAAAATAACAACCTTTTACTATTATTTCGAATATTTAAATTACTTTTAGTAATTTTAACAAATATAGACCGAATATATCACAATTATTTTTTTGGTTATTTGATATAATTATAAAAATGTGTATATTCTTATTATCACAATGTTTGTTTATCACTGTTGACAACCATTTAGTAAGACCAGCGAGGTTACACTACATTCGCTTCGAAGCGATTCTATAACTATAACAATCGTTGCGTTATATTTGGCTCGTTCAAGTACAGACAATTGCTACCGGTCCAAAGGTCCGACATCGATTGACGTCTCCTCTCTCCGGCATGTACTTATGACGTGTACGCTCGAGACAAACAACACCATGTTTATGCATACACTATAATAACGAACTTCGAAAATGTATGGAACCAAATTGTATGGACAATCACGTGACTTATTGTCAGTTCTATACATTTTTGTAGTTATGGAATCGCTTCCGAGTGATATAAAGAGGTCTAATCCCCCAGAGGTAAGAGATTGTAACAAAAACCGTCATTGTACAATCTCAAATATTACGTATTGTTTAAACGTTAAGATTTAAAATAGCATGGGATTTTTCAAGACAAAGATAGATGGGAATAAAAAAAAACCTAGAGGAATAAAAAAAAAATCACTGACGATAGAAATAAATAAATCTTTTAAGCTTTTAATAATTTACCTTTTTCGAATTTAATTTTTTAAGGCAAGTTTGAGTTCAGTAAACTTTTATTGCCTGGGAAACACGTTTTTTTTACAACAAAGTTTTTTTTTTTAAATTGGTGTATTGTGTTTGAGGTATTGTCATTTTTAGCTAATAATTTACGTTTTGAATAGATTTTTTTTGTATTAGGACGGATGTTGATGTACCATTTTGAGCTTAAACTAAATGCATTAAGTGATATAATTCCGTAACAGTAAAGAATTAGCCTTACAATGGCACAGAGGAAATATTTCTAGTTAATAATTTTAACTTAATTATAAATTCACTATTTACTAAATTAATTTGGAATGATTTTATTGATCACAAGCCTTAGACTATTGGGAAAATTTTGGTATCGAATTTAGGCTTATTTTTCATTTGGTCCGAAATATTTATAACAAATTTATTATAGAGTATCCTATTTTAAATACGTATAAAGAAAAAAATATCTCTTAAATGAAAAAAAAAATGTAAATGCAAAAATAAAAAATTGTAAATATATCTCAAGTTCGTGACTATTACAGTTTATTATCAGTACAAATGTATGTACCAAAAACGTACGCGGTTATAAATCTTATTCCGAATGTATGGAGTATCGTTCGCGTATTGTGTATATTTTTTTTTGAACATACAATAACATTATAATGAGCTGCTTTGACATTTTCACTTAACACATAACTTAACCGAGTTGTATAAATAATATATTTTACAAAAGCGATCACATACAAAATATTTGTGACTAAGACATAGTAAAGCACCTAATATGAGTCGGACACTAAACTATCGGTCAGTTAACCGAACTTTTCTTTTATAAATTTATCTGAAACAAAAAATAAGATAAATTCCTTCTATTCCCCTTCTTTTCTTTTGTTCTTTTCTCTGTACACATCATACACTTTCTGTGTTTTATTATATTTTCGTTTAAAAGTAAGAATCTAACTAGTGTGGGTACCGGAAGATTTATTTAGTCCCCTTTCCGTTCTTGCCCTTTTCTTATTAGGATGAGGATTTCGCATAGGAAGGGGAATTATTTATCTTCCTGTGCGTCCTCTCCTCTGTGGATTATAGGTTTGCAAAGCATCTGTAATTACAAATGTCTACGGGCAGCGGTCATTAGGTGGCCATTTCGTTTGCCATCTTATGATATAAAAGAGGTTCTTACCAGACAGACTACAAATAGGTGCTATAAGAGGTGCGATTTTTTTTTTATTTTTCAAGTACAGAAGTCTAAAAATAAGTTACTTAGTTTTGTAAGTTACCATTGTTGGTGTTGGTGGTGTTGGTGGCGGTGGTGGTGGTGGTCAGTTGGTGGTGAGTTTGGCAGTCTCGCTGTCGCTGGGCGGCGCGGGCTGGGAGCTGTGCACCTTGATCAGTGGCGGGGGCGGAGTGCTGGGGGGCGAAGGCCTGCTGCTCACAGTCAGCGCGCCGGAGTTCACGTCCTCGATAGCTTTGCGTAACTGTAATTCATTAATAGTAATCAATTGAATAATGGTATTTAATTAGTATTAATCTGTTAATTATAGTTGATTAATTTAATTAATTATTAGTTTATTTCGTACCTCTTTCAATGAGACGACGCCTATAAGCCGTCCTATAGCTGTGACGTAAGCGCGACTCACCCCCAGGGTTGAAAACAGGGAGTGGACCTGCAACATATTCAAAAATTAAACTATCACGGCTATCTTTACAAAGTGTAGTAAATACAATTAATAGGTAAATTTAAATTGTTTGTTGATAGTAATTAAGCCGAAACAAATCTTATTTCTTACTAATGTTACGAATGTTAAGACATCAAATTATTAATGTTTGTTTGAAGGTATCTCCAGAGCGGCTGCATGAATCTCGTTTAAATTTGGTACAGACGTAGAAGATAATTTATAGAAACACATAGACTACTAATTTTTTTTTAATTCCGCGCGGACAGGTCGCAGATAACAGCTACTTAAAAATAGATTAATGATATTAGACATTAGTATACCTTAAGTAGTGAGGTCCTCTCTACGAGCTGGAAGGGAGCTGGATCAATGTGGCAGATGTATAGATGCTCATCCTCGTACTCTGGGTCGTCTGGATGCTGTAATGAGAAAGGTAACTATCAGCTACTTGATTAGTGGAAATGCAGCTTATGAAGTAATTTAGTTGACGTACCATGTCCCTCTTCCTTGCGATCTGCAGCATGCGGTCGAAGTCTATCTCCTTGGCCATCTCCAGTCTCTCCCAAGCCTTCTGGTCCTCAGGTGACATGTCGCAAACACGTTCGCGGGGCTGTATGTACATATTTAATTAAAATGTGTCATGTCATAGTTGTCAAGTTTATTAATTAAAAGTATAATTAACAATGACACATACTGAATAAACTGATTATTAATTAATAATAATTAATTGATTAATAATTTTATTAATCAATTTATTAATTCGCTACATAGTTTTTTAATAAATTGACACAGCTAGATTAGTAACTTTTAATTTAAAAATCATCAATCAAGCAATCTTAGGAATTTGACCGGAGTTTTTTGACTATAATTAGATATGTATGTTACCAGTTGCACTTTCTTGTTGATAGAGGGGCTGCGCGGTAACGAGGGGCTGAGCTGGTCGGGAAGCCCGCCCTCCACATCCTGCAGCAGTGTGGACCTCTTGAAGATAGCCTCGAATGCTGCACGGATTCTGTTCACATAAATACCACTAAGTATTAACCGTCACTATAAAAATATGACCATAATTTTTAGATATTTTTAGAACGTTTGATACAAGACTTTTTACTAGTTTAAAGGATTATACAGACCTGGTCTCGGCGCCAGTAACAGTGGTGTAGACGGAGGGCTGTGGTGTGAGGGGCATGTTCCCTCCGCCCACGAGGCCGCGGCTCAGAGTGAACGAGTTCGTCTTCTTCAGGATTGACTTCGGTCGGAACAGCTGCCCTGGGGCTGGATGTTATTTTGTTAGCGTCATAATTGAAAACAGACGTACTTGATAACCACAAAGGTCTGGAAATATATAGCGTTATACTGATTTTATTTGCCTAAGTAAAAGGAATAGGTTCCTAAAGTCTATGCCTTATTTCTTCCCTAGTTAGACACTAAATTTTTTAATTGTTCTTTTGGGTAATAGTTTGATTGCTTTTGGATTAAATATGAACTTCGGTTGGTTAAGATCACTTACCAGGTATCAATCCGCCCTGGTCGTTGGTGGTGAGGGAAGTGCCTCGCGTCATCCCCGTGCCTGGCACCTGCAGCATGTCTGGTGCCGGCGTCACCTGGTAAGTATTTATGTATCATAAACAGCTCAGCTGGGAGAAAGAAGGTCAACATTATACTTGAAATCTCTCTTACCTCGAACCTGGAGGGTCGTCTGACCTTCTTGGCTTCCTCATGCTTTCTTCTAAGCTCAGCCTCCCTGTGCCACAATGCCGCCACCTGCAGCCGTCTCTCGCGTCCCACTGCTTTTTCTATAACCTTCACCAGCTCCCAGCGGTGGATGGAGCCCAGCAGTACCATGGATGTAGGACTATCCACCAGGGGGAAACTCTTGATTGACTGTGTAATTAACACAATTATCATTGATTAATTAATTATACTAATAATTAATTAAAATTAATTAACTTGTTAACACAAAAATACTAGTTGTATGTAATCGTAAGTAGTCAACAATCATCTCTTTCTTTTTATAGTTAATATAATAATGTAACCTTGTTCTCTTTGAGGATGTCCTTCAGCTGCTGGAAGGTCATGCGGTTCCAGATGTACTTGACGTCACGCACCATGAAGTCCTCCACACAGATGTCGTACATACCTGCATATGTCAATATTTATATAACAAATAAAATATTATATATAAGAGACAATTTGTATTATACAAAACATGATTGTACTGTAATTAATTTTACTAATTACTAACATTATAAATGCGAATGTTTAGATGGATGGATGTTTGAAGGTATGTCCAGAACGGCTGTATGGATCTCGATGAAATTTGGCATAAATATAGAACATAGTCTGGAAGAACGTATAGGCTACTTCATATTTTTTTCATGGAGGGTTAAGTCGCGGGCCAGAGCTAGTTTACCAAATAAGGAAATTAATTAATCTATAGTTAAAATTTTTCTTTAGAGTTCGAGTTATTGAAATGTAGATATTAATTATTTTAATTATCAAACCAAGTTAAAGTTTTTAAACAAAAATGTAACGACGAGGATGGGATTCGAACCCACGCGTGCAGAGCACATTGGATTAGCAGTCCAACGCCTTAACCACTCGGCCACCTCGTCTTGTACTTACCTCACCAAACATACGTACTGTTTGCATCAATACAATACTCGGAACAGACAAATATTAATTATTCTATTAAGTAATTAATTTTATTATATTAAAATGTTTTATTAAAATAATAAATAATTATTATAAAATCAATTGAATTATTTTTTTTTATAACAGAAGGGGGCAAACGAGCAGCGGGAAACCGAGGTGTTCAACGACGTCCATGAACATCAGCAATACCAGAGGAACCGCAATTCATTTAATATTGAATGATTTGATTTAAAATTGGTTAAGTGAATGAATTTATTTCCTACCGAGTCTCTCTCTCTCTCTCTCAGTCAGTCAGCTTTCTCACTTTTACTACTAAATTTTAGATATAGTTAGAATCCTTTGACGCGAACGACGTGATATCGTTACAAAGTCAAGTGTCAGAATAGTGAGGGGACATGTCGACATTTTAGTAAGGGTAATATTGTGCCAGTACACCGGCATACTGTCGGATTTTCTTCCTAACATAAGTGAATGAATGGCTTTTATAAATGTACTATTGTTTGTGTATGAATGAAGTATACTGTCAGGACTTAGTGAAGGAATGACTCACGGCTGGCAGAAGACAGCAGATCAGGTAGATAAGGTAACTTCTTGATGAGTATAATACTGTCGAAGCAAGATGGCTGCAGGAGTGATGCTGTCGCGTTGGCTGCCAGCACCGCCGCCATCATGGGCAAGATGTGTGTCACCTGAATATATATAATTAATATGAATTAGTTGATTAGTTTGTTTAATGCTTAGTGTAGGGTCAGTAGTGTATTTCATCATCAGCTCACTATACGTCCCCACCCGAGTGGTTCGGAGCCTACCCTAAGTTAAGAGTGATTAGGCTATAGTCAACCACGCTGGCCAAATGCGGGTTGGTTGACTTCACACATATCTTTGAATTTCTTCTCAGATATGTGCAGCATCACGATGTTTTCCTTCACCGTAAGAACGTCGGATAAATGTACTTATGAAAATCGGAAATCGAAAAACACATTGGTATATGGCGGGATTCGAACCCAGGACCTGCAGATTGCAAGTCAAGTGCTTGACACCTGGGCCACCGAAAAGTAGTGTATTTACTAAGTGTAAATTGTTAGCTATACGACTAGGTTCGATTCTCGCTATGTACAATTATGTTTTTTTAGTTACGTTTACTAGAATTAGTGTATTGTGGTTATTACATAATAAATATATATATACATAAAATTTAAACATACATTTGAACTTGAACGTTCAGAGCGGGAAGGAAGAATTTACTATATGTTTCTTCTCACTTTAGTATTCAAGCGAAGTTACTTGAATATTTCTCTATTGCTTTGGGTTTTTAAGTTTTATTTTAGTTTTGGGTGTAGGGAAGTGAAAGGTAATTAAGATGTATGACCTGTCCAGTCATCTCGCTGACGATGACAATGGTGGAGACGGTGTGTGTCACAGCCCCGGTGAATGCGGCCGCGCCCACAGTCGCGTACCCACCTGGAA